AAAAGAAGAAAAGTGAGTAAACAGATGGGAAGAAGAAACTTTTTCCAGGGGAAAATGGTGAACAGCTGGAGGTGGCTGAGAAGAGACATGAGAAGAGGAAGAAAAAAATACATTGCAACATCCTCCAGCTGCTTTCCATCTGATAACTCGTTCCCAATCCCCTCTTTTACGAACGAGAGATTTGTAAACGACCTCCACAACTTCCAGTTTCTGTTGGTCACATTACTGCTTTTTCGTTCACGTTTACATATGTATCTGGGCCGTGTCAATTGTTTGTGTTGGTGATAAGACAATCTTTGAGAATCGAGCTTATAGATATATTGGCCGGGTCAGATTTCCAGCGCGTGAATGAAAGTACTGCTGTTATGTAAAAATATGGACATGTGACCACAATCATCTGGAAATGGCGGACGAAGAAGTAGAATTTGGAAATGAAGAAGGTTCTTCCACTAATGAGCAGTCCAGTCTGCTCTCTAAGGAAACATCAAGTGTTGGAAAAGTCGTCTCATCGCCTATTCCCGGATTTCCACCTTTTTTTCAATTTGCAAAACTGCAAACGGAAGCAAGTGGTTGGAATGCTGATGTGACAATGGCAACTGGGTTCACAAGGTGCAATGATGGAATAACAGACACAGCCCCATCCGTTGATAACACAGGGGTCACTGACGATAACGCAGTTGATTCGTCACAGTCAGGTAGTGCTGCAGCTGAATCGATACCTGTCGATGGACTTGACGTGATCGAAAATATGGAAAAATGCGAAAATGTTCTCGAGCAGGAAGATGGTGAAGGGAAACACGAGGGTCCAGACAAAGAAGAAGAGGAAGGCGCGATAAATGACGAGCCCGACGAAGAAGAGGCAGAATCGGATCCTTATTTTTACACCAAGCGAGATGAATTTACCTCCGAGATTTACAAGATAGAACTTCAAAATCTGCCTAAGAAATGTGGTTACAAGGTAAGCGACTTTCTTATCTCCCACCTATCTAGGTCTGTTACGCATGCAAATTACATAAAATTGTTGACGGAAGCTTAAATCACCAATTTCACAGTTTGAACCCGGTACAAAAAAGAATTAATTTCATGTTGATCAAGCAACATGGATTAAACTCAATGTTGAATTGAATGGAGACTGATATCGGGAAAAGGTTTATGATCAGAAAAATTGATCTTCCTTGAGACAGAATGCAACGTGGAATATGAAGTCTTTCATGAAATCTTTTTTTTTTGTAAGTTTTTTTCGTCCGAAGGAGGACAGTTGAGGGCAAGATTTCCATATAACCCCATACTTCATTATGCATTCAGTTATTGGATAAAGGAAAGCAGAGACAAAACGACAGATTTCCTTTGGGACTACGGCTTTGTTTTGACTGGTGTGGGGTTATACGGAAATCTGTCCCAGTTGAGTAATGTAACTAAGTAACATAACCACAGGCTAACCATCCAGACATAGTACTGTGACATGTCTTAGGGGTATGATTCCTTCTCTTACCCATATCATTTTGAAACAAATTTAAAGTGGTAATGCCTAAGGCAATCTATTGCTTTCACTTTTGTTTCCTCGTAAATATGCAAACTAAAGTATGGAGGTGTGCAGAAATAATGCTTATCTTAAAGTGCCATTGTGAAAATTTCCTTATGAGGCAATGAAACTACTTACATTGAAGGTGCCACCATGTAAACAGGTTTTGTATCAATTAAAAAATCTTGTGAGATTGTGTAAAAAAAAAAAATCCAAGGGTTTGGACTTTTTGTTATGCTTAAATTTATGCAGCCTTCCATAGGTAAGAACAATCTTTAATCATATAATAAAGAAAGGAAAGTCTTTATCCTCAGACTGTTTAAATAGAATTCTTAGGACAAGTTTTGCCACCTACTAAAATAGCATTTGAAAACCCTCATTTATCAGAGTAGAGAGTGAAGTGTATCAGTAGCTGGCTAATTTTTTCAACCCTACATTGATCTAAACAATACACCTCTTAAACTTGTCTGCTTTGTGAAACCATTTGAGATCTCAAAGGAATTATACACTTTACCTTTTATGAATTTAGGGTACCTATGCAAGAAACATTTCTTTAGAATATTATCATGTGAAAAAAAAAAAAGAAAACATCTGAGCTAAAGTGGTCTATACATCGTGAGTTTTAATCAAACAAACCTATGCTATGGTTTTAAAAATTTATTAAAGTATTTCCATTCTTTGGATATGTCATTTCCAAGATATTTGCTAATTTTGCAATCAGTGTCTTCTTGGTTGAAATTATAACCAGCTGAGGAATAAACTATGCCTACTGAGCTCAAAGCAGAGCTTGGAAACTAAGCTGGGTTTTAGACTGTACTTCAGCTTTTCGTTTATATGAAATTTAATACTGCAGCTGCTCTTTTCAACCATCCGCCTTCAACCCTTAAGCGTAAGATTCAGCGGTTTGTTTGTACTGTATATATATCTTATTAGACGTTTTGTTGTATAGTATCGCTGAGTATTTTTATGAGTTGTGCAATATTTTGATGAGCCCATAGGGCGAGTCAAAATACAAACAATGAGTAAAAATACTTAGCGATACTACACATCAAAACGTCTAATAAGAGATTTATTATCCAAGATGCTAAATTGTTATTTCATTGTGGGCGAATTTCACGGATATTTCTGGAATACAAATATCGCGTGATATTTGTACTCGTCTCATGTGTAATTTGTACTCTATGAAGCACACTTGGATAATAAGATTGATTACTTTATACCATTTTTGTCTCACTCTCTTCAAACCCCAGCAATTCAAGAAGATGATTGCTAACAGACTCAATGTGAGGCCAGTTAAAGTAAAACTACCCCCAGGAGCAAATCATGCCTATGTCACTTTCAGGTACAGTTCATAACAGCTGCTCAACACTATACTCTAATAGTGTGCAGAAATATACACATGAAATGCATATAAATTTAGACATGAGTTCGTACAGATTTAACCTTTACAGGTTTAAACTGCACATATACCTGACTATGAACTACATGTAGATTTGTTTATTGCAATCACTGCTCAAGCCAACCTCACTGAAACACTATTATGCATGTTTGAGACTTTGAACTCAGTATATACAAGCATCAGTGAAATTCACATGGGCAATTAATGTATATCTAAGCAGTAGTGTACTTTTGAAAACATTTCCTATCTTATTTAAACTGTACAGGATGCCAATATCCTCTCTCAAACCTAATTCAAGATCATTGCTAAGATATGTCCAGTTATAATTAATATATTTTAGCTACACGATCAAAATTTCCAACTTCTACCTTTTAAATTTTCCTTAGGAATGAAGAGGAAAGGAGGGTATGTGTATTCAGGATTTTTTTTGTAGATAACAAATTAAAATGCGAAGACTGTGGCAAATAACAGTGTACAGCTCAAATATATTTTTGACTTTTCAATATCAATAAATGTCCATTTAAGTAAAGAAAGGCTACCTTGTGATATCAGAATGTACTGAGTTGATTGGTAATCGTCAATTTTCAGTTCGAGATCCATGGCAAGGTATCAAAGCTTTATTCAATTACTGAGATTGACAGATATTTATATAAACTTATTTTTACATACAGTGTATGTGTTAAGAAGTTTTTTCTTTAGGATGATATCAAGAAAAAAAAAGTATTTGACTGCTGACTTAAAAAGATTACTTTTGCTTGATGATAGTTGGCCATCAGATCATTATCAGGACACAAGTGGAAGGGCAAAGTGCTTTCTGCTAAGGTAGTTGTGATATTGTTGCCCTAACATGCTGGATATGTAACGCTATTAAAAAAAACAAACAAACAAACAAACAAAAACAATCAATCCTTAATGCTGCAAGCTGTCCACAGCTGAATGTGTTTAGGCCAGTAAATGATTGTCTTTTCTGTTAATTCCAAATGCTCCCAATGTTTTTTGTTTTTTAAACATTTCTGTTTTGCTCTCAAAGAAGTAATGAAGGGGCATATTGTATAGCTGACTATGTTGTTCCTCCTCCAAAGGAGAAACTGCGACTTGAATCAGTGATCTGCTGAAAAATTGATGACATGCATTTATTTTCCTGTCAGTATCGTGACTAATTTTAGCAGAAAAAAGGCTGCTAAATCAAAGGCTCTGATGGTGTGTATAATTTTTTATAGCCAGCCCAGCCACTTCCTGATCCTCTAGCTCTGCAGAGAGCAGAAGGACTGGCAAGAAAGAGAATGATTCAGGGTAATAACTGGACAAATGCTACTACTATTTTGTTTTCTCCACTTGTGGTACACTGTTAAATTCCTAACTTAGGAATACATACAGACTTGTGTGTTTTGCTTGCTCAGAGATGTGGTCATAGTCTTGCTAGACACATTTATTTTTGAAGTTTTTAGTTATTGCTTTTGGATAGTAGTTAGTCACAATACTTGGTTAACATAAATTTAAGCTCAGCTTTGGCTTTCAAATTTTCAAATTGTAGTGGAAATTTCTTGTAATTCTATACCTTTTCTGAGAAAAGTTTCTGGTTGTAGAAATGGAATTGAGGAATATTTTTACTATAATTTTGTTTCAGTAGCCAGGAGATCCTTTCTCTGATTGCACGTTACATTTAGTGTAATATTCATTTCTTTGAAAATGCTTCAGATGCAGCACGTTCAAATGTAGATGCCAAGAGAATTAAAGTAGAGGAGGATGAAGGGGAAGAGCTGGCCATTTCTGTCAGGTGTGAATCAAAGTTTTCTTGGTCTGCTTTATGCAAAAATTTAATTCTTATACCCCTCCATTATGTCCCTGAGTGTAACAGTCAAGAGGGAGAAGAAGGGAGCTACAGCCATTTTGAAATAAAACATGATCTGTTGAGCAGACAGAAAGTTTCAATGGCCATTATTTTTTTTTTTTGCTCTGATCCTGTGTTAGTCAGTTTACATGAATAAGCATCAAATTTTCAGGTGTGGTTGGTATTTTAGGTCAGTGGATTTTGATATTTTCATTTAATTATTTGGCACTTTGTTAAGATTGTTGGTTGAAGAGGTCTTCCTCCGAACAATCGTTCCAATCTATGTGGCTGTTAATTACCAACAACAGTCCTGTTTTTATTCACCAGGTTAAACCATGTTGTGACACCACTGTGGGCTCAGCCATACAGCAAGCAAATGGAAGTGAGTACAATGTATACTCTTTAAGTTTGATGTATCTATTTGCTCTGACATGTCTAAGGCTGTATTGACTTTGGCGAGTGTTCACTGAATAATTTGGTTACATCAACTAAGTTGAAAATTGTAAATTGGCCACTGTAAAGAGTTGAAAAGCGGATGTTTTGAGTGTTAGCCCTTGAATGGAGCTCCTTTCACTCTGACAAGGGGCTAACGCTCGAAACATTAGCTTTTTAACTCTTTACAGTGGCCAATTTCAATTTACAATTTCAACTTAGTTGATATAACCATATTACCTTGTTGCCCCCACTGATGCAGCACCACAATTTCTATAGAAACCTACCCCCTTTGTTCACTGAATAGTTTATAGTGGTGCTGTTGAGGAAAAATGTGACAAGTCCCATTGTTTTAAGCCTTTAAACCAAAAAGTCACTATGAGTCTTCTCTGTATGTACAGTTCTCCATATCTTTCCAATGGTACTAGCAAGGGAAGTTTGTTTTTAAAACAATTTGAGCCTCTTGAGTGGGTGATCATTTCCTTTATTCTTATGACCTGTACAGTTGATTCAGCAAGGATACTGTAATGAGAAATAAGATGTTGGTCACTCTGAGGAGTGACAGGGTTCAACCTGACAAACCAATGAAACTTGGTGGTGGAGACAATTCCACCCTCAAATTCTACTCTAGTAAACTTTCCTGAGTTTTTTGTTATCCCGTGGAGAGGAAGAAGACCAGCATATCTTTGTACATTTTGAAGGTTCTATTCTTTTCTTTGTTTGTTTTTAGACAAAGAGGAGTAACATGCTGGAAATTTTGGGGAAACTCACCAGAAAGTTGAAAGCCATTATGGTCCTGAAGGTATGAGAAAAATTCAATAGAATTGACCTCAACATGTGTAACTTTTGTCTCATTAAATACTGATCAGTATTCTTCTTATTTGCACAGAACAACTGGGTGGAGCAGGAAAGGTAAGCATACATCTTGCTTTGATTCTTTTCTTTGTTTTTTTTTTTTTTCGTTTTCATCAAGAAACACATTTCTGGTTCAGGCTCCAGCCTTTATCTTCAGACAAGGGCTACATCTCAAACAAGTGCTCCTTTAGAATATGTGTCCCTCTTATTGGCCTAAATATGTGATAGGCACCCCTCTCCCTAGAGGACGCCACCCTTTCCCATCCCATAGTTCTGAAGAAAGGTTATCCCATTTGTGCAACTTGTATAATTGCAGCAGTATTTGTTTGGCACATTTTTACCAAACTGTTTTTCAGTTTGTTAACTCCTTAGGTTTGGAAAATAACCATAAATACCAACTGTGATGCATCAAAACTTTAGGATCAGCCTTGCAAAATGATATGTTGTTTATGCTGTGGGTTCTATACAAATGTTAACTTGAAATAAGCTGTCATATCTCACTGTTGTTCAGAAGAAACTATGAGCACCTCCCTCTAAGTGCCCCCCTGCCCCTCGCCCTCAAACACTTAACTCTCCCAGTGCCTCACCCTGCCAAGGAATATGAGTGGGTACTAGAAAATTGTCGGGGAAGACTGGTGGTGAAATGTGGGGGAAGGTAACCTTGGGTTGACTAGCTACCCATCAAGGGCACAACAGTAATACTCCTAGTCACCATATAATACACAAACTGGGATAAGCTCAGCTGAATGGGCCACTTGGCTAATTTAGAAGAAGTACCCCAGATGCAAATGTCAGGATTTGCAGTGTATTTGTGTGTGCATAATTATCTACACCAGTCCAAGCTGCTTTAAATAAATAAATAGATAAATAAATATGTTAATTGAAACTCTCCCTTAGGGGCTTTTCGGGCACAATGTAGACTAAGTACTTGAAAATAATCAGTGTAAGCTTCCGGCAATTCTGCTTTTTTACAAAAAGATCAACTCTCTTAATTGAAAAGAGCAGAAAAATTAACTTTCTGCATTTATTTTTCTTAGAACAACATCCAAAATTGTTCCCTTTGTGTTAATGGTAGTCGATTAGGTGAAAAGTTAAAAAAAGGTACCTTTTTTAGAGAAAAAAAAAAGGCGGGTATTTTAAGCTTTCGAGTGGAAATATTTGAACATCAATATTGTCCGCTTTTCATCCATTTCTCACTTTATTAAACAAAACTTTAAAGCGCAAAAAAGGTACCTTTTTTCCAATTTGAAGCGATCTCTTCAAAAGCGCGAAAAAGGTACCTTTTTTACTGTTTAGAAACGTTCCTATCAAAAGAGCAAAAAAGGTACCTTTTAATTGAAACCTCATTTGTTTTTAAAGGTACTTTTTTCGTGCTTTTGATGAGATTGCTTGTAAACCCCAAAAAAGGTACCTTTTCTTAACTTTTCACCTAATCGACTAGCATTAACAAAAAAGGTAACAATTTTGCATGTTGTTCTATGAAAAGTAAATGCAGAAAGTTAATTTTTCTGCTCATTTCAATTAAGAGAGTTGATCTTTTTGTAAAAAAGCAGAATTGCCGGAACCTTTCGCTGATTGAAAATCCCCACTGGCAGGAGGCAGACCAGTGGGTTATTTACGGAGCGCTGCCAAGGAGTTGAACAAGGGGCAACCGAGAGCAAATTGAGGGAGTGGCAGGGTGGAGGACTTGAACCCAGGACACCGGATTACAAGTCCAGCACCCTAACCACTCGCCATGTTTTATACTTCGTTTACAACAAATTCGGTGTCAAGGGCTCCATTATCAGTTGGTTTGTTGTTTATATTTCTGTAGTGCTAAAAGAAATGGAATTTGTTGTGAGCTCCTGGACTGTGTTGAATCAGTAAGTAACACTGATATCACTATTGCTCTTTTGATTTCATATAGTGTTGTTCTAATAAATCTAAATGATTCTGCATTCAGAAAGTTTGTGATATTTGTTTGAGTGACTCTGATTTTTATGAGCAGAAGAAATGTGTCATTTTTAGTCACTTCATGGTTTATGTTGATATCAAATGAATAGGTATCGAGGGTGTACTAGTATTTGCTGGTACTACTTACTGGTATTTGCGCGGGTGTACTACTTATTTACTGGTCACAGAAAAGGAGAAAAAAGGTGTCTCCGAAAAAATAAGAAACAAATTCTTTTTCACATTTGGGATAAACTGTTGGTTTTCATAGTAGTACCGGTAGATTGATCAGAAGTTGTGATTCCATAGTTGTCACAATTACAAGTGGGTTTCAGGGGCTCCCTGAGAGAGTTGCGGCGGCAATGTGATGGGCAGACAATACATGAAGTCAGACCTCATCCCATCCATTAATTTTGCCTTTGAAACATTTCAGCCTGTTCTTGATGGGTATCGAAATAAGTGTGAGTTCACTATAGCTGAAGGTCCTGATGGAGGTAGGATACTGTTGGCATGGTTTTGTGAGTACATGCTAATCCAGAAATTAACTCCAAATGGTGGAAGGCCCTTAAATCTGACCCTTGGACATACAAGCTACTTGAAATCAAGTGGCTGCCTCTTCACGTCAACCTTTCTGCAGAAAGTGGTGGTTACTTCATCACAAAGCTGCTCAGGTCCATAGTTATCACTTTCATTAACCCTTGCACCCCAAGGAGTCACCAAAAATGGCAGCAATGTTGCAATCTGATTGGCTAATTTGCCATTGTCAATAAGAGTGCTTATGTCAACCTGTCACACAATGGTCAGGGACCGAAAGAATCATTTTATTTGATGTTAATATTGTGGTAAAAGAATGACAGTGGTTTAGCATGGTCTGTACTCTTATTGAACACGATATTTGCCATTACAGTGGTCAATTATTTTTTACAGACTCACTTGGCTGCGCCTCATGAGTCCACAACATTTTGAGCATGGTGATTATGAATATAATTGTCAATAATAGCACAGACCTTGCTAAATCACTGCAATTTGTTGATTCCCCTCACTTTTTCTATCCACATACTAGCAGGAAGATGACGAGGATAAACAAAAATTTCAACAACAGAATAATTGTTTGGTTAAATTCTCACAGCTAAAATAAAAAGAAGTGAACAGCAGACTGTGCAGAGAAGTGATGTTAGGATCTTGGGGTAAAAAGGAGGAAACTTCCCTGCAAAAGCCACCTCTAAACTCTGGATAGTTGTTGCTTATCAGTGCTTCAGAAACGTGGCTGTTATTCATATTCCAACCATTGGACCTCTCTGTTTGGTTTTGCTCTGTGAAAATCTTCTTAATTTTTTGTTGATACAAACAAAGATATGGCTGACCATTATCCCCTTACAGTCCAGAGTTTCATTGATGGTTAAGTCTTGGAAGTAACCATCAATAGAAGAAGTGGTTTTTACTAAGTTAGAACAGATTCCTCTCAACAAATAATAAGAACTGCTAACCCTACACATATAATTATACTGGTAACCCTTTTTACATGGATAAGCATAACCAACATACCAAACACAACTAATGAATCCAATTTGAGCCCTTTAGCCAATAAGATCATGATCAAAATGGCATTTAAGATTCCACCAAACAAACATACAACGTTTTATTGAAAAGTTCTTGTCATTTGACTGTGATTATGTCTTCTGTTCTGGTTTTCAAATTGTCAGTTAGGCCTTTTGACCCAAAGAGTGACCAGCATTTAATCTCTCTGTATAGTGCTGCAGCATTCATTAAAAGATTATTACAATGATGAGAATAATGGAAATGATTGCAAACCTAACATGCTCGGATTGTTAAACAAATTCTCCTTGTCAGTACCAAAGGAAATGTATAGAAAAAAGTATGGACAATATGGGCACTGATGTTAGGGTGTAAATGGTTAAAAACTTCATCATAGGATCACACGACATTGATGTCTGTACAAAACAGTTTTGGTCACTTTTTTTATACCACAAGGAAATTGATTGATTGATTTACCAGAAAAATATTTACAGTATTTACTAGTGAATGTAACTTTTTTTTTTTTTTTTCATGAAGGGGAAGCTCATTTGGAAACTCTGATGGGGTTTATGACTTAACTAAGGCTAAAAATACAGTTTTCGTGCATGGACTATTATTAATGGAGCATAGTTAAGATGAAAATGACAAAAACAAAGAAAAAAGGCAAAAAATAATAATGGTTGAAAAAAATTAACAAAAACAAACACTTGCACACAAAAGGAAGTAATTGAGAGTAGCAACAGTTGGAGGCAGTGTGGCCGAGTGGTTAGAGTATTGGACTTGTAATCCACCGCTCCCGGGATCGAGTCCCACCCTGACCACTGTATCTGTTTCACGGTGGCCCCGAGTTCAGATCCTTGGCCACACTTGTAAATAGCCAACTAGTTTGCCTCTGGCCGGTTGGGGTTCTTAATGATGTTATGTTCAATTTAGACCATTTGTTTCATTTGTTTGCAAGGACCACAATGGAAACTACTGGTTCACCAGTGATTGTGTAATCCTATAAAAAGACTTTTTTTTAGAGGTCCCCTTGTATGTCTGAGGGTTAAACAAAACTCACTGTATTGTTTATATTATGTAGATTTTCACTGCAGGTTTAGTGCTCCTCTATATTCCAAGTTTATTATGTGATAATGAAGAGAAGATTCCGTAAATGTTAGCACATAGCATGCTACATGTCTTTCTTTTTTAATTTTCACTCAACATTTGTATGCCCTCAAAGACTTTTTTTATCTTTTTTGTACCTGTCTAAGTGTGAAAAACCAAGAATTCCATGAGGCAAACTGCAATCAGTCCACTCCAGAATAAATAGTTCTGTGATCCCCCCCCACAAATAACCATCTCAACATTTACCACCCAGAAGTATTCAATTCTGGCATTAAATTGAAGAAGGATTGAGAAAGTGCAAATTTAAGTATCAGTATCAATATTGCCATTGCATAACACTTTTAAACATTTCCCCTTGCCCAGCCAAAACAGTTGGATTCCGCCTTGGATCGTACAAAGGTAAGAGCCTGGATAGGTAAATTTTCAACTGCATACACCAAATGCAAATGTGGCGTCCAATTTGAATTGCCATTGTTCTGGACTGACTAGCCTCGTCTACGTGGAAACACAAAAGGATTATTACTTATGTGAGAGGCTAGTCAGTCCAGAACAATGGCAATTCAAATTGGAAGCCATATTTGCATTCGGTGTATGAAGAATACCTTTGTGAAATTTTTTTCAGAAGCCTTTATGAACTTTTGAAATCTTGAAAATGCATAGCTGAACATCCTTTTATGTTCGTTTACCTAACCAACTGTTTTGTTCTCTCTTAGAGGGTTACAGTGGAGTTGTAGAGCCATCTGAATGTATTCATATCTCAGATAAGGCCAAGGCCATTGCTAAGGTGAAATATTCTCTCTCTCCACTGGTCTGGTAATGTCTCAACTTATTATGTCACAACAAGTTTGTAATTATACTTTAATTCATTACAGGCTTTTCAGACCTATGTGCGGCAGTCCCCCTTACCAGTATATGATCTCTGTTTTCACACAGGGTAGGTTGTTTTTTCGTTGTTTTTTTTTTTTATCATTTTATTTAAAGTTTAAGTTACCAGTTGGAAAGACATGTTTGAGGAGATTTTAATACATTTATGTAACTATTTTCTGAGCTGTGTTGCATTTATTTTTTTTTAACAAGTTTTAACTTGTGTGACATGATGTACCTTTTATGGTGGATAGATATTGGCAAACCTTGACAGTTCGCAGCACTATGTATGGTGATACCATGGCCGTTCTACAGTTCAGTCCACAAAAAATGACCAAGGTATATTATGTTTTGCACATGTGCTGAACATTTTAAGATATCTGAAACTTTGCAATTATAAATAATCCAGAGGGTTACAGTCTGCTCGCAACAATTGTTTTGGTGATGACAGTTAAAGAATTTACCTACCTGGAGAAAAAAAATTAGTACCAATCCTGTTTATTTTTAATAAATACATTAATTTGTCAGTCGATAGAAAATTTATTAAATGCAAAATTAAAATGTAGTTTATGCCTTTTTAATTATTCCTACTCAAAAGTGAAAAAGGGCAGCAAACAGTAAATGACAGACTGCCATTCCATCAAACTGACTGGTTTTAAAGCATAATGTCTGACAAACTGTAACTACACAGTTAATGACAGAGCAATTTCCTGTATTCTTATTGATTTTCTCTTAATAGATCAGTCTGTCAAGTTCCGGTAGTATACAATATGATTGACTAGCTGAATGACTGGTCTGTTAAATGGTTGATTGATTGATTGATTGATTGATGTAGGAAGAAATTGAGGCAGAAAAGGAACGAATCGGTGAATATTTCAAAACAGGAGAAGGGAAAGATGTGACACTTACATCACTCTATCTGCAAATAAATCACACAAGGTAAGCATAATATTAGTTTTTCTAGGATTTGGTAATGTACTGTCCCATTTCCTTTGTATGACTGTGATATTTATTTCAACATCAGCTTCATTACATCTATAGAAATACATGTACCAGTAATTAAGTTAATCTTTTCGTGGCATGAGGTTTTCTTTACAACCCAGTTGCTCACTATACCACAGCCCCTGCCATATAAATATATATACTTGACATTCTAATGTATGAATTTGTGGCCTTCTCCATCTAGAGGTGTGAATGGATGGGCACTGGAGAGATCAAGGAAAGCCGTCAGAATATTGGGGGGCGGATAACAGGCAATGGCATGATTTCTCATCTTGGGAAATTAGCATAGTTTTTTAATTGATAATGTGAGCCATTTAGGAAAGGAGCATACTTTTAACCATATTGAAGTTTTTAACAGGTTTACACTAACATTTTAACAGGGCTGTAGGAGGAAATGCAGAGGCTCCTTTTGTTCATATCATGGGAGATGAGGTGAGCTAATTTCTGAAGTCTTCTGTAGCAGTGTCAAACAATTTCTTCCCTTAATTGTTCACAACAACTTTGTTTATTAAACAGGTTATTGTTTGGTTCTATATACATTTGTTGACATTTTGTTCTAACAGACGGGTTTCTTTAATTTTTTTTTAGCATATTTATGAAGAGCTTTGTGGACTGAAATTCAGAATATCTCCTGATTCATTCTTTCAAGGTAAATAGTGACAATGAATTCAACATAAGTTTTTCTTAGTTTCTGCCCCTAATTTGTGTTATTTAGTTGCTCTCTGTTGTCTACTTATGTAATTTTGTTTCTCTGTTCTAATTTTTTTAAAATGCTCCTGTGGTGTGTTGCTGACATAGGACACCCTCTCTCTAATTTACTTGACTGTTTGATTTCTATGTCCAGTGAACACCAAGGCAACTGAAAAGTTATTTGACTTGCTGAAAGAGTGGTGTGGTGACCATCTCGACGAAACAGTGGTACTTGGTGAGTAATTACTAATATGTTGATAGAGGGCATATCAATTGTGTATCGTAAACCCACAATTAAGCCAATCAGAACAACGGAAAAAAACGTGGGCAACCAAGTCATTCTGTTCGGTTGTGAAAGTGGCACAAGTTTTCCAATCCAGAACAGCTGGGTTTTCAGTACTTTTTTTTACATCACAACCTGAGAAGTGTCGTCATATTAATAATAATATTTTCATTTCTCTTTCTCAGACATATGTTGTGGCACTGGTGCGCTTGGTCTGTGCCTGGCTCAGGTGGGTGAAGTATTTCTTGTTTAGCACATTCAGAGCCCTTTTTATCGCAGCAGCCAGTCAGAACAAAGGTTTACGACATGCGGAACAGTTATAGAGCAGTAACAGGGAAAAGGAAATCAAAACAAATTTGATAACGTTTGACACATAAACGAAAATTGAGCTAATCATTTTTTTCTGATGAAACCAGGGTAGAGATTTCAGTTGGTTGCGAATATTTGATACAACAAATGACTTCAACGCCTGGACAAAAGTGACAGTGAAAGTCGTCATTTGAGTCAAGTTAAGAGGACTTTGCTCAGGTTGTTGACACATCAGTCACTGTATACGACGTCAGCTGTTCTTACCACTACCCTCCCCCCCTGCCCCCAACGCAACGGTCACGCTTACTGCGTGGCTATTCTAATATTTAAACTCAAAGCCGTGGTATTGGAGATGCGATGATTTTCTTGTTTGTTGCGTGTGCTTAGCGTGCACAATGTCTGGAATCTTCTCTGATAACCAGCGGTTCTTTTTACAGAGCGTGAAGCGTGTGATAGGTGTAGAGATTATTGAAAATGCGGTGGAAGACGCCAAAGCTAACGCAGATCTAAACGGTGAGTGCTTCTCTTCGCAGTCTTCTTTTTTTACTCTCGGAGGATCACTAATCTCTTACATTTGTTTCTGTACCTCCTATTAAAAATAGCGGTTAGGGTTTTCTTAATAGGTGGTGGTAATGTTCGCTAAGCCACAAAAACATACCAGAAACGCCCCGGAGAGATCTGAAGGGCTTGATATTCCCCAGGGCTTCTCGACAGGGGGAGGGGCGTATTAGAGAGGGGTGCTTGTCAGAGATTGGGATGGCTTGCATAAACTCGACCTTCTGGACTTTTGAGGATCTGTATACAACGTGTATTTAATTACTTAAGAACCCGCGTGATACTTAAAACTACGGTGGCCCAGAAGGCTCAACACAAACAAAAAAATATACTGCAGCAAATAAAAAATATACTGCAGCAAATAAAAAATATACTGCAGCAAATAAAAAATATACTGCAGCAAATAAAAAAAAAAATCAAAACGCAAAGAAAAAAAGTGTCGAGGCAAATAAAAAATGCAACGCAAACAAAAAGTACTGCAGCAAATAAAATATGCAACGCAAGCAAAAAAAAAAAAAGAAAACGCAAACAAAAAAAATTAGAACGCAACGCCAAGGAAGACTGGGTAATAGTTCTTAGTTTTCCGCCAAAACAGCATGAACAGGAACTCGCTTTTGGTTATGGACGAAAGCGATCTGCGTAGGATTTTAGAAGATTACTTTCATCAAGGGTATAAAAATAGTTATTATCGATTTTTTAAAGGAGCAGCATGGTACTGTCACAAGTTCGCTGCAAAACATGGTTTCGGAAAGGCGAACAATCAAAGGATGGAACGAGTGTTGGCGGGAAACTAAGAACTATTACCCAGTCTTCCTTGGCGTTGCGTTCCATTTTTTTTGTTTGCGTTGCATATTTTATTTCCCGCAGTATTTTTTGTTTGCGTTGCATTTTTTATTTGCTGCGGTACTTTTTTTCTTTGCGTTTTGATTTTTTATTTGCTGCAGTATATTTTAGTCGCTGCAGTTTATTTTTTATTTGCTGCAGTATATTTTTTGTTTGCATTGCGGCTTCTGGGCCACCGTATAAAACAAAGACTGATGCAGGCTTTTTCTCGTTCCAGGAGTTTCAAATGCTCAGTTTGTCTGCGGGAAAGCGGAAGACATCATCGTTGACGTGTTCAAGAACATGCCGCGAAAAACCAAAATCATTGGCATCATGGACCCACCACGAGCTGGACTACGTAAGTCAAACATATGGTGGATTTCCATGACTGCTGTTTTACGTAGCGTAAATTATACACTTTCCAGCCATTAGAATGCGGTCAAATCGCCATGTGCATTGTTTTTTTAGTTCGGTTGAGTTAAATAGCTAGGGTTAGTTTGAATGCAATTGAGGAATATTGGAAAGGGGTAAGCACGTAAGGTTCAACGTAACCAGAAAAAAGGAAACGCTAAAAAGGTCGGGATATGTAATGCCAGTACATTGCTAGACATCGTTTCAGACGATTTTTTCCTCCTTTTACTATTTTAAGCTTTTCCTTTCTCTGTTTGTCTTTAACAAAGGGTTGGCGAATCTCTCCACCTTGGGGTGAAACAACTGTTTGCTCTGAGCTAACCTAGGTGTTGTATTTTTTTCTTCTTCTTCTTTCGCTGCAGACCAGTCAGTTATACACGCAATCAGGAAGAGTCGCAGGATGGACAAACTGATTTACGTGTCCTGTAACCCAAGTGCTGCTTTTGTGAACTTTCTTGAGTAAGTTTTCAACAAAAATATTTTTCCACACAGGATTTCTTTTGATTACCCAATTTTGACTGTTATAATGACCAAAACTATAGCCATCTTAGTAATTTAGGCGATGAAGGAGAACTAGAAAAATTTGGGAGGGGTTTGTCTACAGTTAACTTCCTGATTTACGCCTTTTCTATCTCTACCTTGTGTTTTTTGAATGACATACACGGAATCACGCCAACCACCAGTACTTTGGTCTGTGTTTTTATCTCTCTTTCTAGTCTATGTAGACCAACCTCAAAGAGAATCAAAACAGCGCCATTTCGCCTGGTGAAGGCCGTACCCGTGGATCTTTTCCCTCACACTAAACACTGTGAATTACTGCTGCTGTTTGAGAGAGACATGACCTCTGTGGATGCAGCCAAGTTCTACAAGTGGTACTATTAAACTGGTCAACAGGGCATACTTCTACTGGTAGATCAGGAAATTGTTATTATAACGAATTTAAGTTACACATTTTGACTTTGAATAATTGGTTTTCTTCTTTTGGTTAACATCAGTGAGGAACCCAGAAAAAAGTATAATAAGTTTAAATCATCCTACGTTGTGTTGTGCTTTCTGCTTGCCTGAATATACATTTTATTTCTTTGCAAGGACGACATTTTTTAGTTGTGCTGAGTTGTAAGTGAATTTGTCCAACATGAGGTAAAAGTTAAAGATCAAAGTTAAATTTGATAACTTCAGTAATTTGATATGTTACAAAGATATTACACAGCTGTGCGTGGATACGAATCTTATCTTCGAAGATAAATTTCTTATTCACAAGTTGACATTTTAGTTTTCTTTTCATAGATACTGATCGCATGTTTAAATTAAAATCAATTTTAAGAGCACTGAATGCATAAATCACCTGGACGTAAACTCAGCTCGTAAGAAAGTTACTTTAGCTTTTCGACATAAAATGTAATTCGCTGAACTAAAAGTTGAATTCAGCTTCTTCAATTTTGACACAAGAAGCATAATCCACAGAAAACAGATTACCTGGTTGAATCCGACGAAGAGATCAACTATTACTTTAAAAGAGAAAGAAAATTTGATATTGAACTGCCTTCTGTTGTCTTAGCAAGCTGAAAAACTCAATTCATGTAGAGTGCAAGAAATGCCAATGTTTTTAGAGGTTTATTTAATATAAAATAATCTTTGGATTGCAGTATTTAATGTAGTTATACACGTAAATTATTATGTTAGTCAGAGCGACAGAATCTTGCATCTGCCGCTCTTAAGAGTAAGCAAGTACACCGTATACAACAGAAATATATTCTTAATAAACTCTTGTTGTGATCTCTGAGAACAGAACGAAATTATATTTTTTTGAGCCGTCGCTCTTTCAACATTCCCTCTGTTTAGAAAGCATTCAAGGTCTCAAAATGACGGGTATAGAGTCAAGGGGCCACGGGTCTTAAAAAACGGTGGAAATTGGTATTTACTGGAGTAAGGTGTGGCCAGGATTTAAAGAACAGGGTGCTCAACCATAACGAGAATTTAAAAGTTAGGTGATGCAAGGGGTTGTTTGGATGCCTATCTTGCCAGAGCTTACCCCAGTTCCTGCAGCGAAAAATAAATGGGGTATAGCCCACTCCTCCCCCCTGACCACTCCCACTGGCTGCCTCTGGATGGAAATGCTTGCCCATTGTGGGGTTAACCATTTGCATTACAGAAGACCTCAGTGATATTTTGCCAGGACCAGTTAATCTTTCTGGATCAATACAGGCACTGTGAGAGCTGTCTCTCGCCTAAGAGGAAAAAGAAAAAAAAAACACACAAACAGTGTCCCTGCTAGGGCCTGATTCCGCACATTTTAAACCAAACACCATTATGGCCCTCCGTTGAGACAGAGAACAAAAATCACTGCCCTAATATTATCCAATAATGTCCCTTGAAACTACTGTGGAGTACTTCATTCATCATTTTATTATCAAATACTATTCAATACATACTTGTCGCAGTTACTTAAAATCCTTCATCTCTGATATCTTTCCACTATAAAGGAGTTGAATTAATTCAAGTAAATAGAAATCTTATTTGACCAGTCTTAGAGTGAATTTAAGCTTAACCACACTCAAGTTAAGGTAACAACCAATACACCAATCCTTTAACAAAACTTGTAACTGTCAAAGAGCAGTATATCTTTAGACTAAATTCAACTGGTTGGTCTGTACTTGGATCAGTTTCTAATCTTGAACCAAACAAACCTTCAACTTAGAGGTTCCTGGCCACTAGCACTTTGTAACCTTCAGTTCTTTGTTTGTTCCCTAGAAGGTAGAAAACAGACCTTGGTATTAGCCTACACTGACAGTGCAGAAAGGAACTTATATAAGAATTCTTTCTTTAAAACAGCTAAGCCAGTTATTATCCACATTCTAATCCCTTTATTTATGTATTGCAAAATATCAAATTCTTAAACTATCGAGATGAAAAGAGAAAGATGGAGCTTCTCATTTCATAGCTGTACAAAACTTCCACTGCTGATATTTTCCCCCTCTTAATCCCTTGACCTTTTGGGGTGACCAGCATCTAATTTCTCCTTGCAGTATCACTACTGAATTGCACATTAAGGTCGTGGGAATGAGAGAAATGATCACCAACTGAAGAAGCTCTACTTGATTGTTACACAAATTCTCCTTGTCAGTGCCTTAGGAAATGTATACAGTACAGCATGAAGAATATGATAATAGCAAGTAAAGGGTTAAGTAAGGCTACTAAATAAAACTTGATGAAACATTAAATACCTCTTTGCCTTCCACCTTGAAGCCCAACTCTTGAGCTGTCTGTTTAATGAAAGCTCTTTCCTGCTGAGTTAATGCTGTTGGGAAGGAGATTTCTTGAGTGTAACTGTCCTCTTTGAACTCTCTGTACAGCAAAAAATGAATGGAAAAAAAGAAAATTAACCGTTCACTCCCATGATTGACCAAGACAGAATTTCTTATCATCATCATCTTTATTTGCCTTATTTTAACAATAAAAAATATTTAATTACAGCGATAACAGTTAGAAGGCGAGGAGACCCAAGAAGCCACCAGGCTTATGGGAGAGCCACCTCACTTACAATAATAAATTAAGTAAAGAAAAAGTGCTGCGAATGTGCGGCTTGGCCAATTCAGTGATTATTTAAGTAAAAACTCTTGCAATTTCATTTTAAAGCTGAGAAAGTTTGACAAACGAGTGACTGAAATAGGGAAGAGTTCCAAATTTTAGGACCTTGGTAGAGAATTGTAATTTGCTTGAAATTTGTATGACACAAATGCGTTCGATAATTACTGGCTGTTCTAGTACCATAGTTGTGAATTTGGCTATTACTTACAAAAAGATCGAGAAGCAATGGGGGCAATAAGTTATTTTTGAAATAAAATCTCACAGTATCAAATGAATACAGTATCAAGCAAACACATAATGGGAATGAAGAAAAATATCAATCAGGGAATTGTTGGTTGATCCTATACCAAATTATCTGAACTAACATAGGAATTGCACTGCAGAGGGTAAGGATAATCTCTAAGAAGACTTCCACCAATTCTGCCAAAAGGAATACTGTACACAATAAACAGAAAGGGAACATAATGGCCTACCTTAATTTTTTAATAAGCAATTCCTTCTTTCCTGCTTTAAGGTTTACAGGTGCTTGTAAAGATTTTTCATCCTTACCTTTTCCTAAATAAATACAAGGAAAATTTCTGGTATGATTTTCTTGAACCTGTTAAACCCCATGAGGGTGACTAGTAACCAATTTCTCCTCATAATATCACCCCTACATCACACAGTAAGGTAATGAAGATAAAGGAAATGATCACCAACTGAAGTGATTGATTGTTAATTAAAACAAATTTTCCTTGTCAGCACCTTAGGTAATGCATAGAATATGCATACTGATGTTAGGGTCTATAGGGTTAAACAACTGTTGATCAGACAAAGAGGTAAAAAATTTTCCCATTTTTATTTATGACCTTAATAATAGAGTGTATTATTTCAAGAGGGTAGCACAGAATAGTTACAGAAAATAGTAAACTTGTGGCCCTCTCAACTGTTCCCCCTTCTCCCGGACTCAGCAAAACAGCGTCTTAAAAAGCGATCGCTATTTGTCACATACCTTTCTTAGCAGGGGCAAACATGCGTGAAAAGGTCTGCTTTTCAAGAGCTTGGAAGTGACTCACTTTTCTACATTTGATGAAAAAAAATTCCATATTATCTCAAATTAAAAAATACTTTGTTGTAGATCAATATCACTATTGGAAAGCTTCATCTTTTAAACACATAATTGGCTTCTAATTTGTAATTGTGACCCTTTTGGGTCTAATTTCTGCTTACAATATCACTTTTGAATCACATGTAAGGTCGCAGGAATAAAAGAAGTACCTTGAGTTATCACCAATTAATAAAACCCCTGATTTTTAAACAAAATCTCCTTGTTAATCCCAGAGGAAATGTATAGCCAAGAGTATAGAGAATAACAGGTATGAATACTGATGTGTTGGTGTAAACGGTCAACTAAAAGTTCACATCCTCCGCATGGAATGCTTAGGTGTCTGCCACATAACATTTTACCAGCACTCCGTAGAAATAAAGGTACTAAGTACACATACCTGTCCAATTCAATAAGGGCATCTTTAATTGCTTTGTTGCTGGGTTCATAATACTGTGCCTTCTTGAACTTATCCCTAGCGCTGTCAAATTCACCCTGCTTCTGTAAGGCCTGTAAAATAAATTCTTAGTACATAGAGACAGTGAATGTTTACTACTGTAACAATGCATCACAAGACATCACTGCAGTTAGCAAACAGACACAGAAAATGCAGATGTCCTGCATAATCTTTCAGGGAAAATAATTTGTTCAATTTATCATTGATTGCAGTCTTATCACCTGAGTTACAAACTACATGTATTGTAAAACAATTACATAAATGGATATATGTTATATTAATGAACTGATCAATTTGTTTACATCCTTTACACAGTCCGCAAAAGAGGTAACCTGCAGGGTGCAAGAATTTTTGAAAGTGCAGATTACCTTTCCCATTCTATAGAGAGCCTTTACATTCCTTGGGTCAATACCTAAAGCCTGAAAAAAAACAAAAATATTATTTTGAAAGTTAAAATGTAATGGATGGATAAGAATTTTATAACTATGAGGAAATGAATTTACATCCACAAGTGGAAATCACATGCTCTGTTTATTAAGTATAATTTAACAATATAATACTTATTAGGTACCTCAACAAAGACAATTTTAATTTGTTATGTAACCTCTTAGAGAGACTAGCATCTAATTTCTCCATACAATATCACCCCTGAATCAAACATCAAGGTCATGAGAAAAAAGAAAATGATCACCAACAAAAGAAGCTTGTGATTACTAAACAAATACTCCTTTTCAGCACCTTAGAAATTGTTTAGAGACGTGTAAGGAGAATATGCATCCTGATGTTAGGCTGTAAAGAGTTCAAATACATTTCAAGAGCACCAGATGCTGTGATGAACTGAAAGTACAATCACCTCATAGGAATGCTATTTCAACTTTTAATGAAGAAACAAAACAATTGTAAGAAAACAAAAATTTCATCTGTGCTCAGTGTCATGATCTCTTCCCCCAATATTTTATGCATGGCTAGCCTCATGATCATTTTCAAGATGGCGGACTGTGATAAGAGAGTATTCACAGAGCAAGCTGACATCAGCCTTGGTAATGAAAGAATGCAATGTTTCACATGAGAAGTCAACTGCAAGAATTCTAAAATTTTTCAGTACCTTCACAGAAAACCAATAAAATTCCACGAGCTTTTGCCTCTGCTCAGAGCCTTTCACCATCATCATTTTGACATAAGTAATTATTATAGGTGTCTAATAAGGGTAAATTTAAAATCTTTTGACAAAAAGATAATTTGTTTACCTTTCTTGCATAGGTTAGAACTTTCTTCACCTCTGCCAACTCGAGAAAACAGTGAGCAGCATTGAGATACAGTTTAAGCAAAACTTCATTCATCCATCTCTCTTGATCAGCATTTTGTAAATGGCAGTTTTCCAGTAATTTGATGGCCTATAGTTACAAAATGTAATAAGGAATATTGACAAATGCACAGATATTGCACATAATCAATTCTAATAAAGGCTGATAGTTTCTAAAGAAACTGTTTGGGGCTGCGTCGGTGGGGGTAACTAAATAATTTGAATATATCAACAAAGTTGAAATGGTAAATTGGCCACCGTTACGATTATAAAAGCTGACGTTTCGAGTGTTAGCCCTTTGTCGGAGTGGATAGGGCTAACCCTGCTCCCAGTTGGCTTGTTAAAAGGCCTCAGTGGCGAAACCCATCTAAATTCTCCCCAAAAATAACTCCTGAATCACACATGACGGTCACTGGAAAATAGGAAATGATCGCC